AGTCAAATAATTGCTTTAATAAGGATCAGAATAGATTCCAGCCTGAGAAACGGCTTTCAGCAAGTGCTCATCAAAACCTCAGTCACACACACACACACACATGGGCCAGCACACATACGTCCTCAAGCACACATGCCCCCAAGCACACATGCACCAGGTGAAAAATGTGGACAGCACTTGCCATGTTGCCAGGTAGCTTTCTAAGCTATGTATACAATTTATACATATGTATTAATATATTTATTTAATCTTCATGACAAGCCATGAAAAAAGTGCTGTCATTATCGTTGTTTTCCAGGTGAGAAAACTGAGGCACAGTGATTAAGTCACTTGCCCAAGGTCATCTCTAATAAAATGTAGAGCCAGACTTGACCCCGGGGACATGTGGTTTTTCATCCTATGCTATGACAGCACCTGACCAAGGGCAGTGCACTCTTATGTTTTTCTAGTGCGTCTTTCAAACTGGTCAAGATCCACTACCCTGATTTTCTGACCTGTGCATACACCATGAACCATGGTGTGTGAAGATGTTTGAGATGCTTGCGGTGCACCTGAAGGAAGACTGGGAATTTTTCAGATGGCTAAAAGGAAGAATGAACTATTTCACGAAGGACAAGACTGTGCCAGTTGCCAGAGTATGAATAGCATGGAGGTCCAGGTCAAGGGTACTCCAAGTTGTAGGACAGGGCTCAGGTGTGAGATAGGCTGAGCAGGTGGTGAGGCATGAGGCTGGGAGACTGGCAAAGACCAGATCACAACAGGCCTTGAATATCATGCACATGGGCTCTGTCAGGAGGATGGGAGGAGCTATGGAGGGGCTGAGCAGGAGAGGGACATAGCCTGTTAGATCACTCTAGCTCTAGTGTGAAGAGCTACCTGGTAGGGAGGTGGGGACAATACACAATCAATAGATATAACTAGTCGGCATAAAAGCTATAACTGATTAGGTATAATCAATAGGGTTAGGTAGCTTCCCACCGCCTCTCCTGCACAGAGGCACTCCTGCTCTTCGCCATGTGTGTCATGGAGCTGTAGCTACCCAGAGAAGACATCTTTATCTAATTCACCCAGACACCTTACAGGCTAGTGGTGGCCCTGGTGTGTGATAGTCAAGAAGGGTGGAGACAGAGCTAAGCTAAGACAGTAGAATTTGAGAAAGAGATGAGGGGAAAACATATGAGATATAGTGGAGCAAAGTAATCTGGTCTTGGTGATCAACCTGATGTCAGGGCTGAGGGAGAGTGAGGAGATGAGATGATGCTCAAGGTACTAGTTTAGCTCAACCAGATTGTTCTTTAAACCCTGTTTCAATTGACAACAGGTGTCGCTGAATTTTTCCCATAAAGGTCCAGATAGAAAATATTTTAGACTTTGCAAGCCTTATGGTCTCTGTTATAATTACTCAGTTCTGCCATTATAGTTCAAAAGCAGCCACGGACAAGATGTAAAGGAATGGGCATGGCTGTGTTCCAATAAAACTTTATTTACAAAAACAGGTTGTGGGCCAGGTTTGGCTTGAGGGATGTTGTTTGTTGATCCCTACTCTACACCATGAGGTGGCCCAAATGCCAAGTAGACTGCCAACTAGGTGGGCCAGGTGGCTGTTAAGTAAAAGGCTCACACTGACAGGCTCATGCCTCATCAGGCAGATAGACTGTATCTCTCCTTGAATGATGCCTACCTGACCAAAAAAACACTCATCGGAAATTGCAGAGTAATTCCAACACCTAGCCCTGGGAGTCCAACTCTGGAAGAATGGAGGCAGATGTTTGACTCCAAATGCTCAGTTTCTGTTCCAGGCACAGTGGAGGTCCTGGTCTGATACTTCCATTGGTTATAAGTGCAACACAACAAGCACACTAGCTTACCTTCATTGGACACTCACTCTATACCAGGCCCTGGGCTAAGGGCTTCACCTGAGTGATCTCATTTCATGCTGACAAAACTCTTGTGTGGCACCTATGTATTATTATGTATCTCCATTTTACAGATGAAGAGACTGAGGTATAAAGAGGTTCAATACCTGTGGGGCTTGGACTCAGGCAATCCAGTCTCAGACCCTGGGCCTCCAACCAATCCTCAATCAAAATGGATGCTGCAGGCCCAGGTGGACACCCATGATCACTGCATCCACATGTTAGCCCGAAAACACAGGCTGAAACAGGTCAAACACTTGGGAATCTTTTGTCCTCTGGCCTGAGTGGAACTGTTATTGGAGACAAGCAGTTCAGAGGAGATAAGCCCATCTGTTTCAAAAGCAAACCAAAACAAAATCAACAGGCACATCTTTCCCGATCTCTGTTATTGACCAAAACCCAGAAGTGGGTCCAGATGAAATGTATATATTGCTATCTGAAGGTACTGCATCTGAGGAAGGTGGGGACAGAAAATGAGAGGAGACAGCTAATCTCTATGTGTTCACTCTGTAAACATCCACTTAGGGCACTGTGGTCCCTGTCCCTGACCTCCTGAAGGGCACTGGTTGGGAGGAAGCCAGGCACAGAGAAGGCTTTCGAATGCCCTGGATATCATGCATGCTGAGGTGAATGCATGGTGCACTGGGGTCACAGAACGGGGACTGAACCGGGGCAGAGGCACCTGGAGCCCAGCTCAGATGATCTGGGGTTAAAGTGGTGGTGAGGAATATTCCAGGGGAGGGAAGAACATCTTCCAAGGCAAAGGGGATAGAGTCTAGAGCAAGGAGATGATATAGGAGGGATGCAGTTGGAGACACAGCGGACAGGTCCTAGGGAAGTCAGCTCCCAGCAGTCAGCCCAGACCACTCCGGGCTGGAGGCTGTCCTGTTCTCAGCCTTCTGTGCAACCAGAACGATCTCTGAGTTCTAGATGAAATGCAAAGCACTTGCCAAGAATATGGTGATGCCAAGAACACTCTGCTGATGCTGCATCTTGAAATAGTAAAAATAAATAAGAGTAAATCACTTCTATCATGCTGCCCATTTCACCCTGCATTTCTAATGGCTTTATCTTGCTTATGCTCACCAAAAGTTTGAAAGTGGGCAAGTATTAATACTGCTATCACCCTTGTTGTATTATTAAAGATATTAACAGCTCTCATCTTGGGGGCCCATGGTAGCTAGCAGTGACCTAAGTACTTTATATATAATATCTTATCCTTATCTAACAGAGAAGTGATCTGAGGCTCAGTGAGGTATAATGATTTGCTCTAGGTCATATATTGGGAAAAGAATGGAGCCAGAACCCAAACCCAGAGTTTGCCTGATGTCTGTATCCAGAGTCCTCCTGCTGGGCCTTTCTGCCTTGACATCATGCCATCTAAGGACTTTGTGGATTTCTGAGAACATTTTCATCTGTTATATTTGTCCCTCCAAAGAACTTTGTGAATTTAGCATAAAAAGAACCAGGGCTCAGAGAGGTAAAGTATCCTCTCCAAGGTCACACACACAGATTTTGAAAGGGCCAACTGAAGACTTGAGCCAAGGTCTTACCATTTCAAAGCCAAAGTTCTATCTCTTTACCATGGCTCCCACGTCCACAGCAAAGAAACAGAAAGCTAACGTCCCACCCCTGGAAATGATTCTTTAAACAAACAAACAAACAAACAAAAAAAAAACTCAAAACTCATGTTCTCTTAATCTCTGCATTGGCGGGTGTTCATCAGGCAATCAAAAGACAAATACTTAGGAGAGCAGGACATGCAGATCACAGCCAAAATGACATCATAAGGAGCAGGCTGTGCCAAGCAAATCTAATTTCCTCTGACAGAGTGGCAGGCTGCGAGATAAGGCGAAAGTCACTGCCGTTGCCGTGTCCCCAATTCTGAAGGACAAGTTAGATCAGCTCCAGAGAAACTACTGGGGAGAGAGAGGGAGGACAGGTCACACTGCACCCCCCCACAGAGGCATGCACACACACAGACACTCATGAACGTTGACGCACACATACGCAGGCACACAGAGACACAAAGACAGATACGCACAAACCCAGAAAAATTGGCACCCCAAAACACACACACACAGGCGTGTGAAAATACACCCACATGCCTCCAAAGACACATGCCGGTCAAGAGATACAGAGAAATAAATACACATACATACATACACAAGTCTACCCACACACCCCCAACTCAGACACATACACATACACGTAGACATATGGAGACACACATATAAATACAGAGATACACAGACACACAGAGCAACACACACATACGCAGATGCACATACAGACACAGGCAGAAGACACAAAAACTGATAGGGACAGAGATAACGTACACATTCACACATTCACAGAAGTATGCAGAGACACACGCATCCGCTCACAGACACACATACAGACACCAAGACACACCCAGCACCCCTCGGTGGCAGGAGGTGCTGACTCTTCTCAAATCCTCTCCCTCGTATCCCTGAAATTACACCTTTCCCAAATTGGAGACTGAAAAATGAATACCTCTGTGTCTGTGCATTTTCTCAACTCTGCCTGGCCTGATGTCTTCATCCAGAACCTTGGAACACACCTGCCAACTGGTGTTGTTGAGGAAGGACACGGACTTTGGAGTCAGGCTGGTCTGGGTTCCAAGTGAGGCTCTCTCACTCACTAGTTGCAAGGACCTGGGCAAGTATCACATCTCAGTTTTCCCACCTGCAGAGGGGCTGATAATCCTTGTGATGAGCCTGCTGGACTGGAACCCCTTGGAATTCTGGCATTCGGCAAGAATCTATCCATGCTAAGTACTTGAGTTATTTGAACGTCTGTCTCCCTCACCAGGCTAGAAGGCACCTTGTGGGCAGGGGTCTTGTCTGTGTCCCCCTCAGTCCCTCCTCCAGGACTCAGCAGGTGCCTGCCAGGCACATAGTAGGCGCTCAGAGAATATTTGAAAAAAAGAATCAAATGAAGTCTACATCCTTAGCGTCCAGCACGGTCCTGGCACAAAGTAAATGCTCCCTCACAGCTAGAGTGTGTTGAAAAAGGTAATACATGAAAGCATAACCCTCTTCCATTCTCTCCATGAAACAGGCAATCACTTGCAGATGAGGAAACGGAGATCCAGAAAAGTTAAAGAATTCGCCCAAGGTTACTTCCTGGGGTGGAGATTGAAAACCAGGAGGAAGATTGCTAAATGCACGCTCAGAGCCTAACCACAGTAGACTTCGTGCATAAATACTTTCCACCAGTGACACAACTCCATGGATGACTTCTACAGCCAACTCCGCCTTATCTACGAATAGAGTAATTCTTTAGATTGAATCGACATTTTATCTTCAATCCTGGGTTGCCTTGTCTGCCTCCAGCATCTGTCTAGAACACCTTCCATATGCCCACGGTGTTGCATTTTACACATGCATAATCCGAAAGCTCCTGATGTCTGTGTTTCCTCTTGCTCCCTCTAGAGTAACACCTTCCCATCTCTCTATCTGTCTTATCGCTTGACCATTTGAGGCCATTCTGTCCCCAGATGTTTTTCTTCTGTGTTTGTGTAGACCACACAGCCCCATCCTGAATTTATCAAATCTGTTTTTCCCCTCTCTTGCATTGGTACAATCCCCGTGTTTAAAAACCAACCTGGGGCACTTGGGTGGCTCGGTCGGTTAAGCGAGTCGGACTCTGGATATCAGCTCGGGTCTTGATCTCAAGTTCAAAGCCCAGTGTGGAGCTTACTTAAAAAAAAAAAAAAAAAAAAAAAAAGCCCAACCCAACTCAACCGACCTGTATGCCAGTTAAGCTACTTTACATAACAACTGCATTTGGCAGTAACTGATGGTGCACAGTTCAGCATTTTGCAAATCCTGAAAGGTTCTTACACTTATACCACCCGTGCTGCTGCACACCTCCAACATGTTCAAACCCCCTCCCCTGCCACTGCCAGTTTCCCTAAAAAAGAGGATTTTGTGAAAGATCTCTGCCTCTGTCTGGGCAGGCAGAATGGTTACAGCCACAGGGCATGGAGGCCATAATTATCCTTCCCCGCAAAGGAAAATAAAAATGTCCAAAGATAGTGGCCACCTGGCAGGCAGGGGACCAGGGCAGGCGGCAGTGACTCATCGAGCACGCCAGGCAGCCACTCTTCCCCTGCAAGCAGGCTCCGAGCTTACTCACAGCTTTGCCAGGCTAACGAGCAGGAGAACGGAGGCATCTGAGGGCGAGGGAGGCTCTATTTCTGCTAGCTTGAACTCTTAACATGACACAGGTGGCTTTCAAGACTTTTTTTTTTTTTTAAATCACCCTCTTGCTTCCCAGCTATGATTCTATTCACGGGGATAGCCCCATGTGAACAGAGTGAATCTAAGCTGTGTATATATTAACTAAACAACCCAGATTTTCCCTACCCTTGTCATCTCAAACCCCTGTCCCCCTCAGCACCTGTGTGAAATTACACCACTAGCTGTTCATTTCATGGGGTTGGACTAGGTCTTCTCCTGGGTTGTTCTTAAAACAGTGATGTCCCCTCATGTGGAGTAAGGTGAGTGGGGAGGGAGAGGTGCTAAAGTAGTTAAGGAGAGGCTACTGTGTGCCAGGAACTGTGCCAGGCACTTTACAAGAGTCATCTCCCTGAACACGCATAGGCCTGGACTGCCTCCATTTCAGAGACACTAAAAGGGACATTCAGAGAGGGGAAGTGACCCACGAGACATTCACAGAAAGGCCAGGATTCAAGTCTGTTAGGCCCCAAGGGCTCCACTCTTCCCTCAGATCCCTTTTACCTTCCAGATATTTTACAGTCCTACTAAAATGCTGCTAGACACACCACTGGGATGACGAATAAATGTCATCTCAAGTGCCAATGCCAACACACTGGCTGAACTGGGGAAAACGGCCTGTTTCCTGGAAAACTGGTCTATTTCTTTGAAACACTGAAATTCAGGATACAGCATGCATCTGCTAGTGACAGGAATCAGCATGAAGACCAAAAGTCCAGAGCACGGTGGGGCAGAAAGCAAGTGACATCGGAGTCCCTGATGGGATAGCTGAACCCTTGAAAGCAGCCGCTGACCTCTCGTCCTCAATGAGCCCTAATGTCTGTATGTATCTGGGTCACAGTCATCTGTATTTTATGGTCATCCGCTATTGAAACCTCCTAGTTGACCACAGTCCTTAGTAACTATTAGGAAGTCCTGAGTCCTGAGGCTGCCTCTTTCATATACTTCTGATGTGGGCTTTTCTGCTCCAAAGTCTTCTGCTGAGGTTCAGAACTAGACACCAAAATGTTACTTATCCACAGAATCCTGGACTTTAGACCAAACTAACCCTTTCTCCTCTCCAACCTTTTTCTCTTGGGGTTGCCATTTTTCTAGCTCAGTAAATAGCAACCATCAGAGGCCATGGGGTCATCCTAGACTCTTAGCTCTCTATGCCTCTACATCACCTAGGATACCAAGCCCGGATGGCCCTGCCCTCTGGTCTCTTGGGAGACCATCTCCATCTTCCTACTGCAGCCCTATCTTTCCATGTTCAGGTGACTGCAACAGGCTCCCTACTAGCGCGCTGACTCCAGCCTGCCCTCCACCTTAGCCCAGAGAGAACATTCTAACGTACAAAGCCACATCGCTGCAAGCTTAAAAATACTCCCATGGATCTACATTTCCTAAAGATAAAATCCAAATACCTGGGCCTGACATCAAAGAACTTTTGTTATCGGATCCCTGCTTATTTCTCCTACCTTATCTGTAGCTACACCGGAGACGTAACCTGCCTTCCCTTCACAGACACACAGCAGCCACTCGGAGGCCCGCCTCCAGACTTCCCACCTTTGAGCAGGCTCTTCTCTCAACTGTGCTGCCCTTTCCTTGCTTATGTAACTCCACTCATGCCTCAGCTCAGCTCTGGCCTCCCAGGCCCACCCCTCCTGGACAGTCAGCTCAGATGGGGTGCCTCCTCTGGGCTTCCACTCCCTCCAGTGTCCTGTATCACACTGGCTCAGGAGTCTTCTTTGACTTTTGAGCTTCCAAGACCAGATTCTCAGAAGAATAGAAAGAACTCATTGCTTAACCAAAAACATGTGGAGGAAGGCAATCACAAGCAAAGCAAGGTGTTCCCCTCTCTCCAGCAGACAAAAGAATGTTCCCAGCAGTGATACGGAAAGAGATGGGAAAGGGGGCAATGAGCATGCCCACACTCCTGTGGGAGGCCCTCATGCTTGATTCTCAGGGCTAAGTGTGGGGCAGAGGCAATGTCCCAGAGTCTGTGGGGGTCTGTGGGGTCTCCAAGCAGAAGGGAAGAGGCAGTCCCAGGGACGCAGAAAGGCCTAGAAGAGCAGAAGAGGCCACGTGGCATCTGGGAGATGGGGGCTCAGATATTTCTTAGTTTCCTACAATCCTGTGAGGCACCAAAAATAATACAATGTTCCTGTGAACCCCAGAATGTCACAGAGGTAACAGTCACCTGACCTGAGACAGGCTGCAGACAGGAAATGGAGACAGCTCCATGGAGACCTGCATTGACCAGTGACTCAGAGTCATAAATGCCACTGACAGATGACATCAAAGAGCAGGTGGCCCTCCTTCCATCACGTTTGCACACACCAAGCATAGATACAGTCTCTAGGGAAAGGAAGGGGGTGGATGGACTGCAATCGAGTTGCTACCTATCCCAACCAAATGGAGGCTCAAAATAGAAATTGAATTCAGTTAGGTATAACAGAGAAATTTGTATTTGCCCACACCTGAGTTCATGGACTCATGATCATACCTATTCCAAGTGAATAAATGAACACAGATGGTAAAAGCAACTTGACCGGAAAAACAAATGTATTCAGAGATGATATAGGGTCTGCCTCTTTCTTCTGTTTTGACTGCTAAGACAGCCCAGCATGATCCACCAAGAATCCATGAACCAGATCCAAAGTCTGTCTGTTTGAGGATTAGAGCTACCATTGGAGAGTCCCAACACAGTATGCCATACAAGAATGAGAGTTGGACGATCAGTGACCAGGCTTGAAGGTACTGGGGTTACACAATGCTGAGTCATGTTTCGAGCACCTCTCCTTCCTGTGTCTCAAGACAAGGGTGGTCAGGAAAGGCTTCTCTGCAAAAATGAGGCCAGAGATGAAATCTGAAAATAAGTAGAAGGAGGCAGTGGGGGGAAGGGTTACCAGGCAGACAGAACTGCTTTGCCAATGTCCTGTGTTAGGAAAGTATGGACATGTTCATAGAAGAAAATAGGCCCCTATGTCTAGAACACTGAGAGTGAAAGGTGGATAAAGCAGGGCATTGATTGGTGCTTCCCTCCTTTCCCTTGAGGTTGGGTTGCACCTAGTGACTTGCTTCTAGAATAGACTCAAATAGCATGCCTAGTATGCCTTTTCTGAGAGTACGTTATAAAAGACTTTCCTCTTGTTCACACATCTCTTGCTTCTCACTTGTCTGTTCTGATGAAGTGAGCTGCCATGTTGTGAGCTACCCTACAGAGAAGCCCATGTGGCAAGAAGCTGAGGGAGCCTCCAGCCAACAGCCAGTGAGGAGCTGAATCCTGCCAATAACTGGATGAGTAAGCTCAGAAGCCAAGTCACCCCGAGAGGAACCTCGAGATGACAGCACCCCAGATGACTGCAGTCTTGTGAGAGACACTGGGCCAGGGGATGCAGCCACGCCACACCCAGATTCCCAACCCACAGAAACTGTGACATAATAAACTTGTGCTGTTTTCTAAGCCACTAAGTTTTGGGGTGATTTGTCACTAGCTGCACTAGTTATATGCAGCTGATAAGGTAGGCAGGTATGAGATAATGCAGAATATTTTAGATTTTGGTGGTTATCCTTAGGGTAACCACAGGCTGCTCCCTGTAAGGGTTAACCTCGGATCTACATGTCATTCAGCTAAGTTTCTGATTCTGAACCTTTCTAAATAATACAACCTATGTACCACTTGAAGTTGGGTGTAAGAGGATGTTTGATTTATTGACATCGGCATGGTAGGTGGGCAATGGGAGGCTGAAAGGGACAGGAATTAATCTTCGCTGACAACCTGTTGAGCACCAGGCCCTTGCTGGATGCTCTGCCTCAAGTATCTCATTTGATCCTTATGGGAATCAGTGCACCTTGAGGAGTACAGTTAAGTAACTCGCCCGAACACAGCCGGCCAGTAAGAGGTGTGGCCAGGAATCTCTGCTTTTGAGGTCAGCTGCCTACCACAGCCCACTGACATCACTCCTGCCAGTGAGTGGCCTTTCCAGAAATAGCTGGTCTGCTGGGTGAGAACCGGTAGTACAGGCAGAGAACCGAGATGCTTTCTTGTTCCCAGGGAAAATACTCCCGACGCTGGCCCAGGCAGACCCGTCTGGTGAAATCAAAGAAGCTGCGGTATTGGCTATGGATGGCAGAGACAACATTCTCCTATTTCTCCTTGCCAGTAGAACTCCTCTATTACTGGGGGTGTCTACTCGCCCAATACATTTCCCAGTCTCCCTTGCTTTAGGGGGTGACCAATAAGCTAAAAGTCACCAATTGGACCTTCTGATTGTGTTTTTAGAGTGCTGACTCATCTGAGAGGTGCATGCTCTTGCACTTCTCCTTTCCTTTTCATGTCTGGAATGGAGGCATAATGGCTGGAGCTGCAGCAGCATTCTATGGCCACGCAATGACCTCGATGATGAAAACTACATTCTAAGATAGTGGAATACAGATAGAAGGAGCCTTGGCTCCTTGGAGGCCATGACCAGGGAGCCAGCCCTTGACTATTTGCATCAGAACTGCTTTCACACAAGAGAAAAGTAAATCCTTATCTTCTTTAAGCCAATATAATCTGGGTTTTCTGTTACAGGTAGCTGATACTCATGTGATACACTCACATTCTCAGTCAGATATTTAATAAGCAGGATCTGGGGATTTCACTTTAAAATTGCCAAGACTCCAGGCTCTCAGATTTTCCCTTTCATCCTTCTTATTAAGCAGTTATTAGTATGCTCTCCAGAGGAGGAGGGGGACTAAGATTCCATGAACACCTCCTTTCCCTCACACATTGTACTCAACCCATATTATCTGGACTCACCTCACAATGCATCTGTGCAATGGGATTTGCATCCTATTTTATAGATGCAGAAATGGAAGTCCAGACAGATTACATCACTGTCTGGGGAACACGGCTAGGCTTTGAACCTAGACCTATCTGGCCTCATAGCCCATACTTCTGTTGCTTCCCCATTGCCTCCCAGGTCTAGAACTCTGAGGAGGTGAGGCCAATTGAACCATTTGGAGGGCCCTGGATCAGGGTGCCTGGCTGTCACCAAATCTCCCAACTGCAGCCACTTCCCGAAGTCTTCTCCACTGCAAGGTGACTAAAGCAGACGGCCCAGCTGGTCATCTCCCTAACTCACTGTCATCCTGTTTACTGGCCATCTGGCCTTCATCTCTGTGATTCTCTGACTGTCTGCCTTTAAGGACTCTCTTAAAGGGACAGAGGCCCTCCTTGGTTTCAGTAAAGGACCCTCATTCCTAAACTAATATGTTCCCAACCTGTCCAGCAAGACTGACAAAGGACAGGCCAGAACAGCAGGGACTTCTGGTTGCAACACAACTCTGTTTCTAACCTGAGATTACAGTGTCCAGAAGGATTATGTGTTTCGAGCAAACACAGTCCCACCCTGCTGGCACAAATGCCATCAGAGCAGCCTGACTCCTCAGCAAGCTCCAAATATTCTCCACCAAAACTTGCTTTACCCTGTTTGAAACTCCTCTGATTGTCCCAGGAGAGATTGGAAATGTACTCTTTCTAGGAGCTGGTGGAAAATTAACCCACATTAGGAGAGAGCTAGGTGATGCTGAATTGGGGACAGGAAGGTCCATTTAAAAGAAAAAAAATGTTCTTTGTAACCAGGACAAGGCTAAGCATGCCTTCTCTCTATTGGTCCAAATCTATGCCAGCCTCCCACTGGCATCCGTAGGTGTGCTCAGAACAAGCTATGGATTTCTATAGAGACTGTCACCATGGCACTAGGGGCCTTATTCTGCTATTTCAAGAGGGAAAATAAGCAAAAGGTCAAAGGAAGAAAATCTACCATAGGGATTTTCAAACTACAAATATTTATTCATGCTTTCGTGTGTGCCTAGAACTACATAGCAAGACGGGCTGGGAGAATGAACCTGTGTTGTAACCCCCATGGGTTGAGTGCAAGGCGAGGCAGTGACAGTCCATGATCGGATTTCTCTCTCACAACAGTATAATCCCTGTTCTGTCAATTGGGGAAAAAGAACGTCTAAGTAATTTGCCCAAGAGCATCTAGGAGCATGGCACTGGATCAGGCCAAATCCCAGCTGGAAGCAGAGGGTAGGCGCAGGGGGGATTCTGAGTATAAAGGACTGTAAGTTCTGTTTGCAGGAGTGGGGAGAGAGCCTGGGAGCTGACAGAGGCACTGAGTACCGGTACTGGCATGGGGTAGAGTCTCTAACCTCCTGTTGGCCCAGGGAGCAAGGAAAGGAAATAGTGTTACCGGGCCAGCAGGGACCACAAATGAGGAAGGGGGGGGGGCTGGGCTTGGAGCACACAGGAGTTGGGCTGAGAGTGGATGGTGGGGGGGGGGGTTGGCAAATTCAGAGTCACCAGATTCGCCTACTGACCGCACCTGGGTCTTGGTCTCCTCCTGGGGTGGTGCCAAGCCCCATCAAACAACTAAGAGTAGAAGGGGGATGCTTCTGTGTAGAAATTGGCAATTACTGCACTAATTCTGTGTAACAACCACCCAACCCAGTGGCTTACACTAACAAGCATTTTTTTTTTTTTCTTGTTCATGAATCTGTGGCTAAATCGTGCTCCTGCTGGGGCTGCCTGGGCTTGGCTCCAGGCTGCAGGTCGAGTTGGGTCTCTGCCATGTGCTCCTCATCCCTTGTGGACCAGGAGATGTGCTTTCCTCATCTCAGATAATAGGAGTACACGAGGCTGAACCACACAAGCACATTTAGAGCCTCTGCTCACTTCTTGCCCACCCACATCCTACTGGTAAGTACAAGTCTCTCTTGACCAGGTTCAACAACAGCGCCGTAGGGAGACAGTCTCCAGCCACTCTACTGAGAAGCACTGCAAACCCAAGAGGTAATGGTTATGATATATAACCCTGTTATGTGGGAATGAAGAAGCAGAAGCAGTTTTCCAATCTACTATATTCCTCAAGGGAAAATAAATATACTAATATCAAAAGGGAAACAGATACAACAAGTTAAAACAACCAACATCCACCCTAGCGATCTCAAACAATTTCGTTTGGACAAGCTGTGGAAGTTTGAGGGGGACAAGGGCATGTTTGCTGAATTCCTTACTGTCCTTGGGTTAAGACTCAAAGAATGCTGGTCCAAATTCTGGGGAATTACAGAGGTAGGGCTCATAGCCCAACTCTGGGTCCTGAAAAATTTGGAACCCCAAAATATTGTGAATGGCATGTATGAGAGACTGAATATAATCACATGAGGTTTACAGGAATAGTCATAGGTCTTACTCACTGGGGGCTCAAAACTTGACTGCATGGGCACAAGATCAGGGGATCTTACTTAGTTCTCTGCTTCTAGGTAAAGACCCTCTCTGAGCCTCAGCTGCAAAATGTGGCTAATAAGGCCTGCCTTGGAGCAGTGTGGTGAAGGTTCAAAGCACAATCATATATGAACTGAGCCTGGAATCTAGGAGGTGCTCAGTGCACATTGGTGCCTGCGCATCCTTGGCTGAGTAGCAGCACATGATCCTGTCACCTAGGGATTCCAGTTGACCCCAAGATCATGCTGTGTTGAGTGTGCCCAACAGAAAGGCAGACAGAGCAAGCACTCAGTATGGAAGGCAAGAATGCTGCTCCTCCCTGCTCTACAGTGGCCCAACCGACTGCAGGCATCCTGCTTAAAAGAGGACTTTTAAGTCCAGGCATCCCATGAGCTACTTTGATAAAGGGTAGCACATCCAGTAAGAGCCACAGGAAAGGGAAGAGAACTCAACATCCTTTCTAATGAGAAGGTTGAAGGAATAGGGGATCTTGAGGGAGGAGAGAGTCATGATGCCAAACATTTCCCAGAGTGGTGAGGAAAAGAGTGACTGCTATTTTGGGAATGCCGTACACAATGCTGGATCCAACATTGGAGACTGTTGGATGCAAATGGCAGGCTGGAGATTTGGGCTTAGAGTAGGGACTTTGAACCCATCACAACTGCGTGAGTTTGGAATGCGCTGTCTTACTGTGGGGTTTGGGTCAGACACACCTTATTCAAATCCTGGCTTAGCTACTTGTTCCTTGTGTGACCTTGGGCAAATATTTCTACTTCTCTGGGCCCCTGCCTGGGTCAGAGTTTTGAGCACATAGAATGCTAAGGAAGGGGAGACTCTCTGATTCTGCCTGCCGGTAAGAATCACTGCTCCCTCCAGAAGCAGGGTGGAGGCAGAAGCCATATGAGAGGAAATAATAACCCTCCCCTGGCACCCAAGGAGAATGAGACAATCCGAGGATCATTGTTTTTGCCCATTTCCCTATAAAATGGCAGACTTCAGGGAGAGAGAAAGGGTGAGGACACTCTTTGCCTGTTTGAGCTTTCCCTCCAAGACCTATCACTAGACTCGACACAATGGCAGCCTTTGATTCATATTAAAAAGAAAGAAAGAAGGAGGGAGGGAGGGACAGCAGTGAATATTCTATGTGCTAAGTACTCCTCCCTTACAGAATCTAATCTTCCCAACTACTGATAAATTGAGAATTATCATCCTTTATTTTGGAGATGATAAT